CCCAAATGCATCACTGTAGAGTGGGTTCTGGGGTGTCAGTTGCCTTCCAGGTCGGTCTGGCATAGATAGCATCTGTGTGCAAGGCCTCTGGGCTGTCTCTGTTGTCTAAGGTTACAATTTGCATCATGCAGCAGCTGATCTCCCTTGCACTTTTGCACCGGTGTTTCTTCTTCCCACATGGCTGGGAGGTGCACAGGTAGCTGGAGCAAAGGGCTCCCTTGGGGGTAAAACGAGGGCCCAGCTGTGAGCGCCTGCTGCCCTGAGATTGCACAAATGAGTGTGTTCCCTGAGACACCAGGATCTCTGCTGATATTTCTCCGACTAGTAGCCTAACAGGAAAGCTGTGAAGCCCCTGGTGAATCCTCCTGGAAAGGTGCTAAGTGTCCAGTGAGAAGTGGCTGCACACAGCAGCCAGCTCATACAGTTATCTGTGACCTCTGTAGGCTGGTCCTGCCCATTTGATCCAACGCCCTCCTTCACTCAGTCTCTCCATCGCTTCTCTGCCCTCCTTTGCCTGCCTCAGGGCTGAGTCTTCTCTGCTATTTTTTGCCCCCATCTGTTGTACTTCTCCCCAGCCCACCTCCGCCTGGTTTACTTAGAACAAATGTCCTGAACTACCTGTTCTTGGTGGCAGACAGCCCGCTGAAGGGCCATCCCACCCGCTGGGCCTGACACTCCCCTCATCGATGTGATAATACCATAACACTGCATGGAGGCAGTGAGGAACACGCACGTTTCTTGGGGTGTACTGGCTGAACATTCTTCTAGAGAGGGGCCTTACATGGCCAAAACTTCAGAAACCCAGTAACGTGACACAGGTCAATGCAGTCCGGGCACTCCCAATTTCCTCAATAACTGGTAAAGCTCTGTGTAGCAGGAAGCTCTCAATAACCAACCGGGAAGGATTAGAGAGCCTGGAGCGGTTTGTGCAAAGTATTTGGACTTAAATCTGATCCTGTGTCACACTTTTTAAAACTCTTAGCCAGCGTCCTGGTGTGCTAGGGTTTTTCAGCCTAGGAAGCAGGGCTCGATATGGGAATCTCCCTCCTCAATCAAGGTTCTCCTGCTGTTTCTGGCTGAGGGAGTAGGTGACTTCTGACAGCAAAAGGTGCTGCTGGCAGGCGAAGCTCGTGTGTTGTTCCCCTTTGCAGGGGAATATTGTGATCGTGTGAATCAGTAGAATGTCCTCTGAAGGACAAAGGAGACAAGCTGCTGGCAAACAGGACACTGTGTTTGATGGATCACTGATCCAACGGACCATAGCAAGTCTTGAACAGGGGATGCAGTCAGCAGTGCTCACTTTCAAATAGAAGGTGACTGAATCCTCCTTTCCTTGAGCCAATCCTCACAAGTCTCATTGCCAGCAACGTTTGTACAAAGAGCTTCGACAGCTCCAGACCCTTCTCCTTTCTTCTGCTGAGCTGTACTTCTAGCAAACAACGTTTTTTTCCCCTCTCATTCCAAACACTTCTATCTTTCACAACCATAAACAACATTAACTCCCCAAGCAATCTTGAAGAACAAAGGCTTTGAGATAAGATTAGCCTGCTGCAGAGATGTTCCCTCCTCCTTATGAATTTCACCCCTTGGCAGGCAGGTCGGAGATTGTTATGTAACACCTTAGCTACATATAATTAGAGGGCACTAAATTATATAGGAAAGAGGCACCAACCTTACCTGAGTTTGAAAAGCATACCGGTGAGTTTGTGGAGGAGGAAAACATTATTCTCGAGTGACTATAGATACATGGAATGTGAAGATACCACCTCCGGTGCAGAAAATCCTTCAGCTGTAGATCACGGAGGTCTGTGAGGTGTTGTGAGGAAAGAGCTGCTGTTAGAGACAAAAAAAAACCTGGACTCGGATGATCTCTGCTTGATTTGCTGTGGTTGCTTTTATGTTCTTAGTTCAGTTCACTGAGTGGTGAGCAGTACCTGCCTCACCACAGCAAGGAGCAGATGGGGACCTCACCGAGCTTTTCAAACTGACTACTCGTTATAAAAATGCTGTTTTTCAAGGCCATTTATTATAAGCAGAACACCGAGGCATAAGGAAGCTAAATGCAGTAATTACATTTGTATGGGTCCTTCCTGTTGGCCGTACCCACTTGATTTTTATTCATACAATGGAGTCATTTTTGTGTGGTGTTGAGCTTATCTGCTTTTAAAAAATGATTAGAGCTTGAGTCATGTTTACCCTCAAACACTTAGCAGTACTTACTTGCTGTATTTGAAGGTGCTCCCGAAGGCAAACCAACCTCCTCCTCTGACTTGGATTTTTGTCACGGATGGAGAGACACATTTCTTTTGTAAGAGAGAAGTAGCTATATGTTTATTGATATAAAACAGATTTAACAAAGTTTGACAGTAAACGCAACGATGGTTTATCAAGATTCGATGGTGAGGTTCACTTAATATTTACTGCGTAGAGGACAGGGTCAGAGAGACCCTTGCGTTGAGTCACCAGGTTCAGAATGGACCCCCTTACTTTCTAAACTTCCCAGAAAGGAGTCTAGGCGCAGCTGGATCCACTCCTAGTCCCACGCTTGGCCGATGGTTTACGTCTAAAGGATTATATGTGCACAATCATTCATATCACTTAGGATTTCAAAGTTGAGCATGCTGTTAATCACTTAGCAAGACTCCATTGTGGCAAGGACTCTCTCAACCTCGAGCAGTAACCTTGAGAGGTGTCCCTACTCAAGGGGAAATCCTGGCATGTAGCCTGCTGCCGTGCAGGAGAGCTCAACAGGCCCTGGGCTCTCCACTATTTATGGAGTAAGATCATGGACTTACAGTCATGTTTACTTACCGATTACAGGTGTTAGTTTCTTCCAAATTTGGGTTGAGTCAGACACTGACCAGCACTGTGGTTAGGTGGGCAGATTGTTCAAATAAACCCTTGGCTATTGTGTTGTTATCTGTCTCCCCCAAATCCATTTGAAGTTGGATGAGGCCATCACGACCAGACATATCCATTACGATCACCACCAGCGGGAAATACAGGACAGGCTGGGAGCATGGGGGGACCACACTGCCACAATTTCACCTTTAAACATATCTTTTTGAAACATCACCTATCTTTTCAGAAGATTGTTGTATTTCACGGCATTTCGGGGATTAGTCTTCCCATCATTTGGGGATTAGTCTTTCCATCTTGCCTAATTTCTGCCCATAAACATGTCTTAAACTGTCATAGTGGGGAAGGGGGGAGATAAAACACTTTCCAGCTTTCGCTTTTCTGTCTTCCTCCATGTAGAAAGGCAAATGTCTAATCCTTTATTTATTTTGGAAGTCTTGCCATCAGTGTTCTGCCATTAATTATCACAAAGGATAGTTACCATGTTCTTAGAGGACATTCCCCTTCTATCTTCTTCATGATGGAGCTCCTGATTTTTTATTTTTGTTTTTTTTGAATACTCAAAAGCCTTTCTGGCATTTTAACTCTAATAAATGAACTTACTCTTGAACCTCTGTATGAATTCCTGCTTGGAGGTAGAAGAATTTTCCATCTGTACGCTGATCATCGAAGACTCTTATTCCTAAATACACAAACCCTGCAGAACATGTCGATTTGCCACTCCCTCCTCAACAGCTGTTGAATTGAAAGATTTTCTTTGGCAAAATATGCAGGTTGCTGGTCCTTCCTCTCGCCCCGTGGGATCATCAACAGCAGCACTCATCCTGCTCAAGGAGTTGAGCAACAAGCTGCCCAATCCCCAAGAGAAGTTGCTTCACCGTTATCTTGAATGAGTCCTGCCCTTTCCGCAGCCACACAGGCTTTGCGCCGTTCTTACCTCACAGCCCAACGGAGGATGCTTTGCTCTTAGAAATGACATTGAGGTGCTGGTGTGTCCAAAGAAAAGCAATGGAGCTGGTGCAGGGTCTGGAGCACAAGTCTTGTGGGGAGCAACTGAGGGAACTGGGGGGGTGTGGGGGTGTGGGGGGGTGTTATTCTGGAGAAAAGGAGGCTCAGGGGAGATGTTATTGCTCTCTACAACTACCTGAAAGGAGGGTGCAGAGAGGGAGGTGTTGGTCTCTTCTCCCAAGTAACAAGCGATAGGATGAGAGGAAACAGCCTCGAGTTGTGCCAGGGTTGGGTATTAGGAAAAATTTCTTCCCCCAAAGGGTTGTCAAGTGTTGGAACAGGCTGCCCAGGGTTGATTCCCCATCCCTGGAGGGGTTTAACAGACGTGTAGATGTGGCGCTTAGGGACAGGGTTTAGTGGTGGCCTCGGCAGCGTTTACAGTTGCACTCGATGACCTTAAGGGTCTTTTCCAACCCAAACGATCCTGAGATTCTGTTTTCGGTGGCATTTGCAAAGGGGCCACCACGGCTCCCCTGGCCTCAGACCCCGGTACCGTGGCACATCCCGTTTCTCTCCGCAGTCGTGGCCCCAGCCAGCGCCGTGACGTGCCCCCGCCGGCCGCTGACCTCACGTCTCGGGGGACCCCCAGGATTTGCGCTGCCCCGCTGTCCCCCTGGTGGCCCCGTCCATCGCTCCCCCCGGGCCTGCGGGAGGGCCGCTCCCCTCACCCCACGGACGCGCCGCCCGGGGCATGACGTCACGTTTGCGTGACCCTGACGTCAGGGCTGCGTGGCTCTGACGTCACACC